GGTGAAAACAACAAATCCTACACACTGTGCCTTTAAGTTTTAGGCTGAGTCATTTCTACCTTCTCCTCTCTGTCAACGCTCTCTGGTTTCATTTAAAAGAGTCGATCATCAGATATTGTCCAAGATTAACCTTCAGGGTGGATATAGCTCGCTAGCAGCCTCGCACCGAAGACCTATCCACGTCATCATTTACCCAGAATGCTTTGTGTGTAAATAAAATGGCCCCGTCCATGTAATATATTTTTAAGTTTAAAAATTATAAAAACTAAACAGCCTATAGTATTTGTACAGTCTTTATTTTACAGTTAAAATATGTTTATTAAATAAACTCTAATGTTACAACTAATCGATGATCCCTTTAATAATGAGTAAAATCAACTGCACATCGTTTACATCTAGTTTATAATGATTATTTAACCTTTTCATCTGTTTCAGTCTCCAGTCTTGGGTCCTGACCGGTCTCGCTGTCACATCACACACTCCAACATGGGCAACAACAACACTGCTTGTCAGTTAAGCAACTACAGCAAGAGGAACATGCGCATCTTCATCACGGAAAAGGCCGAGGAGATCGATGCCTTCATCACCTCGCAGGTTGTTGCTGCTGACGAAGCTGGTGACCGCAGCCTGTCTGGACTTCCTGGAGGTAAAAAGTTCACCTTCAGGAACGATGTCAGCTGTGTCCGCGTGCCGGCCTCTCAGACGCAGGAGGTTCCCTGGGAGCCTCAGCGCTTTCTGTCCGTCTTTGTGGAGGATGAAGAGGATGAAAGCATTTGTTCCAAACAGATTGTGCACAGCATGGCTCTCAGCGCTCCCATCACTGTTCTGCTCTACGATGTGTAGAACCAGCTCACGTCTGTGTGCACACTAATCTACAGATGGCTGCAAACCTTAAATAAAATTAATTACTCCAGGTCTGTCGTTCTGCTTTCTGAGTGTTTTTGTTTTTAGTGAACATGCCATGTGAGAGCAGAGTGACTGCCTCAGCCTGATGATGAAGCTAAAACTAAATCTTAGTTGATACAAGCAAAACAGAAGCTTAAAGTATTCAGAATATAAGCTAAAAGGAGAAACGGTGCGGCTAAAACCTTAACATAGAAAAGTGCTGACTAAAAGTGAGAGGGTAGCTATCTAAAAAATTCAAAATCACAAAAGGATGGCTAAAAGTAGCAAAAGGGTAGCTAAAAGATAAAAGTACTGAAATGCTTGCTAAAGTGAAATGCAGAAAAGGGATAGCTAAAAGAAAAAAGTCACAAAAGAATAGCTAGAAGTCGCAAAAAGCTAAATTAATAAAATGTTAGCTATTAAATAAAAGATGCACAATACAAGCTAAAAGTATCAAAAAGCTAATAATAGCAATACTCAACCTAAAAGTAGATAAAGACTAACTAATAACTAAAGGCAATAAAATGCTTGCTAAAAGTTAATAGAGCAAAGGCTGGTTAAAAAAACACTAGCTAATGACGTGTAAAGTAACTGTTAATGTCAAATTAATAAATGACGTCACCTGAGTGGTTGATGTGAAAATATATTTTTACGTAACATGTCTTAAACATAGGTCTAGCATGTGAACCAGAAAGCTTTAAAATGGGTATCGTCATCCATCCATCCATCCATCCATCCATCCATCCATCCATCCATCCATCCATCCATCCATCCATCCATCCATC